CTGGGCTGGTGGTGTGGCGTACGCCAAGGTTCCACCTTCAGAGACCAGATGGCAGCACCAGCGCCGCCGTCCACCATCCAGGCGTCACTACCGTCTGCTTCAACCCCGGCTCTATCCATCGGCCCGTCCTCCATCTTGATAGTGACGGAGTCTCCACCTGCCTGAGGCAGGGAAGGGCCAGCCAGGGTATAGATGGAGTTCGGCATAAGGGATGGAGAGGTGCAGACGGGAAAGCTGCAAGCTGGGAAGGAGGAAGCGGCTGGTTGAGGCACCATGCCTCCTGGATGCGGTGGCAGGATTCCAGATAGAACCGTCGGGGACATTGGCATCAATCCTGGTGGCATAGCTGGCGAGGGTAGCATCATTCCAGGTGGCGAGGATGGCATCATTCCAGGTGCCATTTGCGATGAAGATACGACTCCGTGAGGCAGAGTAGACCCCGTGTAGGTGGCTTCAGAGCCCATGTATGTGGCTTCAGAACCCGTATATGTGGCTTCAGAGCCCATATATGTGGCTCCAGAGCTCATGTAAGTGGCTCCAGAGTCAATGTAGTTGGTTCCAGAGCCCATGGAGGTGGCTCCAGTGGGGTTCTGAACCTGGAAGACAACACCGCCGCCCCCTGCACCAACTTCCAGCACCTGATGCGCGGGAGAGTGTTCCAGCGACACGGGGGAGTAGAGACACGTGTACCAAGGTTGGTCGCCTTCGTTCCAGTCTTCCAGGCTACCCTCGCACGCCATCTCCCGGGTGCTGTTGTCGAGGCTCGCCGCTGGAATCTCTGACTCCAGGAAATGAACAGCAGTGATGGAGACATCTGGGGCGTCCTGGAGGGCTGGAACATGAGATTCCAGACTCTGGGGAAGCACTGGAATGGGTAAGTTTCTGGACTGCTCGAGTATAGAGTCATGAGCTTTGAGAATGACGCTTGGTTGGCTAGTGGGTGTGGTGGAGGGCGAGGCAGCAACATTAGTGGTGGTGGGTGCGGAGCTGCAGGTGGGCGTGGAGCTGCAGGTGGGTGTGGAGCTGCAGGTGGGCATGGAGCTGCAGGTGGGCGTGGAGCTGCAGGTGGGCGTGTTGGACTGAGTATCCCGGCAAGACATGACAGCCGCATGTCTGTCTTCCGCTTTACGCCGCATCAGGCATCCGTGTCCCATACGACACTCGTGCGGGGAGAAGATACGCTGGCCCGGTTCCCTAGAAACTGGCCGCGGTCACTTAGAAACCGGCCGCGGTCACTTAGAAACCGGCAGCGGTCACTTAGAAACCGGCCGCGGTCACTTAGAAACCGGCTTTGGTCACCTAGAAACCGGCCGCGGTCATTTAGAAACCGGCCCCAGTCACTTAGAAACCGGCCACCACTGACTAAATCCCTGTCGAGGGCCAACTTTCAACGGCACCTCCAAAACTGCGTCCGTCCCGGTCTCGTCCCACAAACCACCACCAACGGGCAGTTAACACACCATCCACCAGTGTTCAGTAGCATCAGACACAACGACCCAACAACGTCCAATATTCCCGAGCAGTCATCACTATGGACTTGTGGAATGCACCAAAAACCTACATAGAGTACAGCATCTATAGACGAAATAAATATATAAATATATATTCAATTGACGATCACAAAACACTGATCATTTTTATGCGGAAAATACAGAGAAATGTGAAAGGAAGATGAACGTTTCGGCCTGTTAAAGCCGTTGTCAACACCAGACTGACTAGAGGAGAGAGAGGGAGCGTACAGGCCAACACCTGGGACCTGACCAACCCATCTCTAGGGAAAGAATTAACCAGAAACAGGTATAGCTTAGCTTAGAATAGTCAAAGAGGATTAAGCGGTCAGAGAATAAGGATGAAAGATTAAAGAAAAGCCTCATGAACACACAATATATGAATATAATATTGTAAAGAAACATTGCAACCTTCCCTATCAGAGTTTTTCTTAAACTGTTGTGCAATATTATAACTTAAAATGGATCAAGTTTGTACATACCAGTACTAACATTAAGAAGATTTGGACACTGATTAGAGCAGACTCAATCAAATTCTGTTCCATAAAACCACCACAATTGGTAATGCTTTTTGCCCCATTCCAGTTAATATTGTGATCGCATAAACTCGTATGTAGATACAATGCATTAGACGTTTGGGCAGTTCTAATACTATAAGCATGTTGTGACAACCGCAATTGTAAGGACTTTCCTGTTTGTCCAAGGTACACAGAATCACAATCATTGCAGGGAATCGAATACACACAACCTGCTGTATCAGGAGTTTTTATTAAATTGGATTTGATCGTACTATTAGTGAACACCAAATTGATATTAAGTTTCTTAAAAACCGGAGACAGTTTTTCAAGTCCACTCGCATAAGGTACCACCAATGAGTTAATAATTTCTGGTTTCGCTTTGGGGACGTGATTATAAAACGTACGCTTGGCTTGTGCGAACGAGCAATCCAAAAAATCTTTGGATATTATAAACGCTTCCCAATTTCATATATTTTAGCAATCTCTTCATCAAAAAACTCAGGGCTGCATACCCTCAAAGCTCGTAGAAACATTCCTGAAAATACTGCCTGTTTAACTTTACTATGATGATTCGAATAAAAATTAACATACGACCCCACGTTGGTAGGTTTCCTATACACATTAAATTTGAACTTTCTAGTGACTCTATGAATCATAATGTCCAAAAACGGAAGAGTACCATTCTCCTCAATCTCACAAGTGAATTTTATTGAAGGTACCAAAGAATTGAGTTCATCAAGAAAAACTATCTGGTCTTTGTCACACGGCCATAAGCACAAAATATCATCAACATACCTAAACCAAACTACATTAGCAGGGATATCCTGGATAAGATTTTTGTTTCGAAGAATTCCATATACAAATTGCTTAAAACTGGGGAAAGGGGATTGCCCATCGCCATACCAAATGTTTGTTTGAAATTTATTAACACTAAAACAATTGTCTTTTATACACAATTTGATAAGTTCCAATACTTTATTGGTCTGCAAGCTCAAATTATATTTAGGCAGTTCCTCACGTAGAAATTCTAACCAATCATCATCAGGTACTTTAGTGAATAAAGTGGTCACATCGAAACTTATTAATTTAAAATCAAAATTTAAATTCAGTGTGGATAGCTTATTAACTAAGTCCACATTGTTTGTCAAGTGTGAGTTGGAAATAGTACCAACTATAGGGGACAAAACTTTGACTAACCACTTAGAGAGTTTATAAGCCGCCGAACCAATTGAACTAATAATCGGCCTTGCCGGATTATATGGCTTATGAGTTTTTATAAGACCATACATGTAAGGAAGAGAGGGGGATCGACTTGTTAGCCTAGATATCAACTCTTTATCGCCTTTACACACAGTTTTAAGAGTTTTGTTAAAATGTGCAATCACTTTTTCAGTAGGATCTCTATTAATCAATAGATAAGTATCCCTGTCTTCCAGGAGTAACTCCATCTTTCGGACATAGTCATCTTTATTCATAATAACTACTGCATTTGATCAGCCTTGGTAATGTGTAATGAATTATCTTCTTTGAGATTTTTAAACACATCAACAACTCGAATTGGAAAATTAGGAACAGAATTGTTAAGTAAAACACCATACATCATACCAAAGGTATGATACATCATACCAAAGGTATGATGTATGGCATCATACATCATACCAAAGGTATGATGTATGGCATATGATGGCGCATCTCACATACACCATACATCATACCTTTGGTATGATGTATGATGCCATACATCATACCTTTGGTATGATGTATCATACCTTTCGTATGATGTATGGTGTTTTACTTAACAATTCTGTTCCTAATTTTCCAATTCGAGTTGTTGATGTGTTTAAAAATCTCGAAGAAGATAATTCATTACACATTACCAAGGCTGATAAGTCAAATGCAGTAGTTATTATGAATAAAGATGACTATGTCCGAAAGATGGAGTTACTCCTGGAAGACAGGGATACTTATCTATTGATTAATAGAGATCCTACTGAAAAAGTGATTGCACATTTTAACAAAACTCTTAAAACTGTGTGTAAAGGCGATAAAGAGTTGATATCTAGGCTAACAAGTCGATCCCCCTCTCTTCCTTACATGTATGGTCTTATAAAAACTCATAAGCCATATAATCCGGCAAGGCCGATTATTAGTTCAATTGGTTCGGATGCTTATAAACTCTCTAAGTGGTTAGTCAAAGTTTTGTCCCCTATAGTTGGTACTATTTCCAACTCACACTTGACAAACAATGTGGACTTAGTTAATAAGCTATCCACACTGAATTTAAATTTTGATTTTAAATTAATAAGTTTCGATGTGACCTCTTTATTCACTAAAGTACCTGATGATGATTGGTTAGAATTTCTACGTGAGGAACTGCCTAAATATAATTTGAGCTTGCAGACCAATAAAGTATTGGAACTTATCAAATTGTGTATAAAAGACAATTGTTTTAGTGTTAATAAATTTCAAACAAACATTTGGTATGGCGATGGGCAATCCCCTTTCCCCAGTTTTAAGCAATTTGTATATGGAATTCTTCGAAACAAAAATCTTATCCAGGATTATCCCTGCTAATGTAGTTTGGTTTAGGTATGTTGATGATATTTTGTGCTTATGGCCGTGCGACAAAGACCAAATAGTTTTTCTTAATGAACTCAATTCTTTGGTACCTTCAATAAAATTCACTTGTGAGACTGAGGAGAATGGTACTCTTCCGTTTTTGGACATTATGATTCATAGAGTCACTAGAAAGTTCAAATTTAATGTGTATAGGAAACCTACCAACGTGGGGTCGTATGTTCATTTTTATTCGAATCATCATAGTAAAGTTAAACAGGCAGTATTTTCAGGAATGTTTCTACGAGCTTTGAGGGTTTGCAGCCCTGAGTTTTTTGATGAAGAGATTGCTAAAATATATGAAATTGGGAAGAGTTTACAATATCCTAAGAGGTTTTTGGATTGCTCGTTCGGACAAGCCAAGCGTACGTTTTATAATCACGTCCCTAAGGCGAAACCAGAAATTATTAACTCATTGGTGGTACCTTATGCGAGTGGACTTGAAAAACTATCTCCGGTTTTTAAGAAACTTAATATTAATTTGGTGTTCACTAATAGTACGATCAAGTCCAATTTAATAAAAACTCCCGATACAGCAGGTTGTGTGTATTCGATTCCCTGCAATGATTGTGATTGTGTGTACCTTGGACAAACAGGAAAGTCCTTACAATTGCGGTTGTCACAACATGCTTATAGTATTAGAACTGCCCAAACGTCTAATGCATTGTATCTACACACGAGTTTATGCTATCACAATATTAACTGGAATGTGGCGAAAAGCATTACCAATTGTGGGGATTTCGTGGAACGGAATTTAATTGAGTCTGCTCTAATTAGTCAGTGTCCAAATCTTCTTAATGTTAGTACTGGTATGTACAAACTTGATCCATTTTTAAGTTATAATATTGCACAACAGTTTAAGAAAAACTCTGATAGGGAAGGTTGCAATGTTTCTTTACAATATTATATTCATATATTGTGTGTTCATGAGGCTTTTCTTTAATCTTTCATCCTTATTCTCTGACCGCTTAATCCTCTTTGACTATTCTAAGCTAAGCTATACCTGTTTCTGGTTAATTCTTTCCCTAGGGATGGGTTGGTCAGGTCCCAGGTGTTGGCCTGTACGCTCCCTCTCTCTCCACTAGTCAGTCTGGTGTTGACAACGGCTTTAACAGGCCGAAACGTTCATCTTCCTTTCACATTTCTCTGTGGATTTTCCACATATATATATGTATATATATATATGTGGGAAATATATATGTATATATACATATATATATATATATGTATATATATATATATATATATATATATATATATATATATATATATATATATATATATATATATATATATATATATATATATATATATATATATATATATATATATATATATATATATATATATATATATATATATATATATATATATATATATATATATATATATATATATATATATATATATATATATATATATATATATATATATGTATGTCGTACCTAGTAGCCAGAACTCACTTCTCAGCCTACTATGCAAGGTCCGATTTGCCTAATAAGCCAAGTTTTCCTGAATTAATATATTTTCTCTATTTTTTTTCTTATGAAATGATAAAGCTACCCATTTCATTATGAATGAGGTCAATTTTTTTTATTAGAGTTAAAATTAACGTAGATATATGACCGAACCTAACCAACCCTACCTAACCTATCTCTATAGGTTAGGTTAGGTTAGGTAGGTTAGGTAGTCGAAAAACAATTAATTCATGAAAACTTGGCTTATTAGGCTTATCGGGCCTTGTATAGTAGGCTGAGAAGTGCGTTCTGGCTACTAGGTACGACACATATATATATATATATATATATATATATATATATATATATATATATATATATATATATAATGTTGAATATGACCAGAGGGGTAAGACTAGTGATTCTAACACGAATCTGTTCAATATTTCTTATGTTTTTTTCTTCACTGCTGGGGGAAGTTGAAAAATTAACTCTCCAAAGTTCCTTTTCACACTTTTATTTTTGGTCTGACGCCTAGGGAGGTGTTTCGCAAGGTCGCTCCTTACATTATCAAAGACTAATTTACCCTGATTGATTGCCTGATGAAGATTAAGCCACCCAAGAGGCGGCACAGGCATGAATAACTCATAAGTTGTCGATTTTGTGGGAGTTAATGGTCCTGAAAGGACATAGTGCGTGTTGAGCTCACATTTAAATCATTAGTACATACTATGTGGCTGCTATCGCGGGGGAGGATATTACTTGACGGTGATTGATGAAGATTAAGCCACCCAATAGGTGGCACGGGCATGAATAGCCCGTAAGTGGTGGCCCTTTTGAGCCATCTGTGGAGATCTGTGGAGGTGCGACTGCACCCTGCGTGACGGGAGATGTCTCCCGTGTACTTGACGGTGTTTATGAGGGTCTCCAGCTGCTGGACACCTTTGTTGACCAGGAGAGTGACAGTGTTGATGGCTTCAGGGTGGTTACTGCAAGATTCAGGGACTCTTAAAGCTCTTCTAAGGTCGTTTGCGGGGGAGGATATTACTTGACGGTGTTTATGAGGGTCTCCAGCTGCTGGACACCTTTGTTGACCAGGAGAGTGACAGTGTTGATGGCTTCAGGGTGGTTACTGCAAGATTCAGGGACTCTTAAAGCTCTTCTAAGGTCGTTGGTTGCTTTACACTGCAGGAGATACGTACCCTGCTTGTGCACAGGCTTATATTATCTTTGGGTGGTAGAGAACAAGTGGACGAATGGTATAACATTGGGGATATTGATTATGCTATTCATCCACTTGTTCTTCTTGTTCTTCATCCACTTGTTCTGTGCCACTTGTTCTTCTTGTTCTTCATCCACTTGTTCCAAGGTGTCATAGGCACAATCAGAGAACACTGAACATCAGAGGTCCACAGCTGTTCAACACTCTCCCAGCGAGAATTAGAAATATTGCTGCAACAAAGGTGGACGTATTCAAGAGGCACTTAGATAAGTTCTTGCAAGAAGTGCCGGACCAACCGGGCTGTAGTGGATATGTGGGCCTGCGGGCCGCTCCAGGCAACAGCCTGGTGGACCAAGTTATCACAAGTCGAGCCTCGCCTCAGGTTGGGATCGGGGGGGGGTGTAGGAGAACTCCAGAGACCCTCTCCAGGTATGTTCTAGGTAAAAACATGGTAAAGTATAGTCTTTGAGAATGTAAGGAGTGACCTTGCGAAACGCATCCCTACCTTGTGGTTACCTGGAAGTGTTTCCGGGGCTTAGCGTGCCCGCGGCCCGGTCATTGACCTGACCCACAGCCTGGTTGATCAGGTATGCAAAGTACCTTAGCAGTCACACCAATATTATATATATATATATATATATATATATATATATATATATATATATATATATATATATATATATATATGTATATATATATATATATATGTATATATATATAATGTCAACTCGGCCACCAGAGGACGCCAATCGAACACAGGTCTAAACAGTCTGCTTGGTCAGAGGCTGGGAAGGGAGGGGGGGGGGGGGGAGTGGATTAATCACAATGTAAAGTTGGATTGATCTCAACAGGATGGAATAATCTCAACGTGGGCGTGGACTGATTACAACCGAGGGGGGGGGGGATGGATTGATCACGTGTGTGTAGATTAATCATAACGGGAGTAGATTAACCACAAAGTGGGATTGATCACGCCAGATGGATAGATTCATCACGATGGGGGGGGGGGATTGATCAAGATGCGGGATGGATTACTCACGAATGGAATAGAATTGTTGGATTACCTAATCACGAACGGGGGCCGGATAGGAATTGATCCATAACCAAGAGATTTGGCACGGATTAATCGATCACAATGAGGGATTTGGCACGGATTAATCGATCACAATGAGGGATTTGGCACGGATTAATCGATCACAATGAGGGATTTGGCACGGATTAATCGATCACAATGAGGGATTTGGCACGGATTAATCGATCACAATGAGGGATTTGGCACGGATTAATCGATCACAATGAGGGATTTGGCACGGATTAATCGATCAAAATGAGGGATTTGGCACGGATTAATCGATCACAATGAGGGATTTGGCACGGATTAATCGATCACAATGAGGGATTTGGCACGGATTAATCGATCACAATGAGGGATTTGGCACGGATTAATCGATCACAATGAGGGATTTGGCACGGATTAATCGATCACAATGAGGGATTTGGCACGGATTAATCGATCACAATGAGGGATTTGGCACGGATTAATCGATCACAATGAGGGATTTGGCACGGATTAATCGATCAAAATGAGGGATTTGGCACGGATTAATCGATCAAAATGAGGGATTTGGCACGGATTAATCGATCACAATGAGGGATTTGGCACGGATTAATCGATCACAATGAGGGATTTGGCACGGATTAATCGATCTCAATGAGGGATTTGGCACGGATTAATCGATCACAATGAGGGATTTGGCACGGATTAATCGATCACAATGAGGGATTTGGCACGGATTAATCGATCACAATGAGAGATTTGGCACGTATTAATCCACCACGAACGGGAAAGGGGCGGATTAACAACTGACAGCCCAGAAACCATCTCAGCCCACAGCCCCCACACACAGGAGACACGCACACACAGGAGACACGCACACACAGGAGACACGCACACACAGGACCGGCGTGGTCAGCACGGGGTCACAGCCGCCGGGACACTGACGCCGGAGTCCACCATACAGGAAGGGCCGCCGCCTCCCTCCCCCAGGGTACGGTACGGGGACCATTGCTAGCTTGACAACTGAAAGGCCATCCTACCGTACTGACGCCTGGGATAGGAGGGTAGGATGGGGGTGGAATGGGGGGGTTCTGGATGAGTGAGGGGGGAGGAATGGGTAGTGTGGAGTGAGGGGAGAGTAACTCCACACTATACCATGATATATGTGACGGGAACTTTAAGCAGCGGGGAGACGTTCGGATTCGTCTTATCACTTCCCGTAACTTCACTGTTCGTACAGCTTCCTTTATTACGAACAGTGACATTTCCGCCGCCGTCTGTCACAGTGCTGTGACCGACGGAGGCTGCGAACACTTGGGGCCATCTTCCTCCCCCAGCTGGTCACAGTTATTACCTCTCTGATCACTGTAACCTCCAACATTAAACTGCTGGATGTATATATATATATATATATATATATATATATATATATATATATATATATATATATATATATATATGTGTGTGTGTGTGTGTATATCACGAAAATAAACACGTGATTAAGAATGTGACAATGTCAGACCACGGAGGAAAATGAAACAGGAATTTCCTTAAAAGCAAATTCCTGTTTCATTTTCCTCCGTGGTCTGACATTGTCATATATATATATATATATATATATA